CAAAAGACTGTGTCTAGGAAATATGTTGTGTTAAAAGAACATCGGCAAAAGAAGTATCGATGAATTGTTTTGAGAGACTTCCTTTCTTTACTATAATAATTAAGAAAGGAACTATTTCATTGAAAATACATGTACCATTTTTTATAAATAACATTCATTTAAACACAAAGGAGTGCGAGTGCAAATAAATTGTTTCTTGCTTTCTATATCCTTTACTCACCTCTCCCACTTTTTCTGTTATACGGCTAAGTTTTGCTTCATAACTATAGTACTAATCATGAATCCAATGCTATAAGCACATGATATTATTACTGATAAAATTAATAAAAGATATTTAAAAAAGACAAAAAAGAAAGAACGTGTCACAAAGAATGCAATGATGTTGTTTTACTTTTTCTCTTTCAATTATTTAGATTATTTATATTAAATAATAGTAATTTATCTTGTAAATTTAACTACTAATCGCTCTGTATGATTTATATGTTTTTTACCTATGCATAAACAATGCTTTTTAAAATTTGCAGATTACTCAAAGTTTAACCGAATATTCTGCACATATTATGTAACAGTATCACATATAAAAGTTTTTAGAGGAAAGATTGAAAATAGAAAAATTGTTTCTTTTTTTTTTTTTTTTTCATTATAGCCATATATTCCAAAGAAGAGCAGATTATTTATCCGCTACTATTCTATGGCTAAATAGATGGAAGAAAAGGTACGACAAACGCCAGTTGAACGTTTCTGGTTAAAAATTTGTTTAAATCCTAAAAAAAGGGAAAGTTTAACATGAAACTGTAATGCATTATCTTACACATCTATGATCAAATAATAAATATTGTGATGAATATTATTTTTATTGATATCTTTGTAATATTCATTGATTTAAAATTTTTTGTATAAATCTAATACATATAAATATTTATAAATTAGATTTCAAAGTCTTCAAATGTATCTTTCAAATAGGAATTACTTAATACATTATTTCTTAATATAATTGCAATCTTTAATCGTATTAAATAACGAAACGAGATAAGGCTAATAAAAGGAAGGAAAGCCATGAGTTAAAATAATAATTAAAATATGATTGATAATAATAGAATGATATAAAAAATGTGAAGAAACTACAATGATATTAAAACATTCGCTTCATGCCTAAGTTTTGATAACTCTGTCCAACGAAGAGAACATTTGGAAAGATGAGAATGATCAATCTTATTAACAAAATGATAAGCAGTAAAGTTCATTATGAAATATAGAATTTTTAAACATGTTTAATGCTTTTGTACGTAATTATACTACCTTGGCAGTGTAGCACCAGTCACACGATGTTGTATAAATGTTGGTACATACTGAGGAAGCTCAACAATTGTGGTCAACCATTCTATTGTTTGTTCTGTGGTCCAATTATAAACCTAATTAAAAAGTTTTTATTATAAACGTTATTATTACAAATATAATATGAATATTTGTCATCGAATAATATAAAACAAATTAATTAGCGTGTTATACCTCTGATTTTACCCATAACTCCCAAAGTTCATGTACACTGATATGCATATCATCATTACGATGAAAAGCTCTCTGTCTTCTTTCATAACCAGCTTCATATTGTAATTCTTCTCTTAAAAACTGTTAGTTTGAAATAAAAACATATTTACAAACATACTTTATAATTATGTATATTATTAAAAATTATATGTATTATTAAATTATGTATAAAAAATATGTATAAATAGAATAATGTTATCTTACATCATTTGATTCTGAAAGATCTATGTTTCCATTAGCATCGTCGTCTAACTGACTATGTAATAATTTAATTGCTTCTAAACCCTGTCGATCTTGAGTACTCATTTTCAAACAAGTTAGATCATCGTTGCAAGTATCAGTATCTGTAAGAAATGAAAAATAATCCTGTTAGTTATTTACTAATTTTAAAAAGATAAAATTTAAAGAAGCATGTAACATTAGCGGTTGGATAAGAAAATGAATGTATCTACAGCACAAAAATACTAATTAGTATTATGTAGCCGCTAAGTCAATTACAATTTGACAAGGTCATCAAGATATTATGATTCTACATACTTAATGATGTGCATCAATGACATAAATAGTAAATACCAAACAAAAAATAAGAAATATTCAATTATTCTTATGAGTATTGCACATATGAATATTTTTCAATATATACATATGTATATATATATATATATTTCTTAACAAAATTAATCTCCATATAAATAAAAAATATAATAAAAAATTTAAAGTACAATAGAATAGAATCTGTGTGATAGACATATATGCATCATATTATTATTCTTAGAGTTGTTTCTCTCGAATTTCTCAGATTTGCAGACGATTTAGCTGTTACTGAATCATTAAGTACATATATTTAAACATGAATAATTGGGAGAATGCCTAATCTAAAATACAACTAACATATATGCACACATATATTCTCTCATTACGTATGTAAAAAATTCCATGTTTTATAGATCATATAATTTACTTAAATTTGAAAATAAATTTCTTACAGGATACAAACTAATAATTTAAACATGTAGTGATATGTATCAAGGAGAATGTCTAACATTAGCATTGGTGTAAAAGGAAATGTTAAAAAGTAAATGAAAATGTTTGATAGTAAAAACAAGTAAGAAGAAACTTACTCGATTCGTGAAGTACCAATTGTGCCAAACCATCGGTAAGAGTTGTGGTAAAGGTTGGTGTTTTTGAGTGGGAGCTACTGGAAGCCCCAGTTTGAATGTGCGTACTTGAATCTAAAGCTCCGCCACTTGCCGATACAATATCACACCACCAATACAATAATTGAACACTAATCAGTACAATAACATCAGCGTCCACGACTCCTCGCATTTTAGGTTAACTTCGCTTAATATTATTATGAAATATCTCTATCTCACACCAACAAGCTTTATCTATCTACCTTTTGTATATAAATATCAAAACTTTATTAATCTCCCGTCTACCGTCTAATTCCGACGCGCTGTTGTCGTGAATGTGCTCAAAATTACAATTATCACAACCGGGATGTTGGCATCGTTCGTAACAGATGATGATGATGATGATGATGATGAAGATGAAAATGATTTATATGAATATGATGATGATGATGATGGTGATAGTGATGGTTTGTTGAATACGTTGCCACAAGTGTAATCGATTATACGTTATTAAACTAACTTCATCACAAGTGTGTAATAAATACCAATAGATATTTGTGTATATTTAAAAATCATTTCTCATTTAAGTACCCGTATATAATATTAATATTAGATTAATAATTAAGTATATACTGCTTGCGTGTCCCTGAATAAAATACTCTTTCTCAAGGCTATTGTACATACGTTCCTTCACTCATCACCACTACTATACCAAGATACACTTTTGAACTTGCGGATTGGTACCACATATGGCTACTTCAGTTAATCCCAACACTTGCTACTTTAGTAATTGCCAGTATTGTAATACCGATTGTTCCTTATGAAATATAAATATATATTCTAAGTTAGTTTCAGTTTGAATACAAACAATTATGGTTCAAATGACAAGACCCAGATCTGATTAAACGTTTATCTAAATTAATTGATAAGTATCAATCATTCTTTTTGTTCTATATTCTCTACATTTATCACTCAATTAAATTAACCAATTTAGATAAGTATAATGTGTTTTTAATACTAGAAAACTATCCACATTAGAAAATACTTTTAATAAGTTGCAATGTTTAACAGCGCCCTCTTTTCAATAATTGTTACCACGAAAGAAAATGCGCGCGAAATAAAGTGCATCATTAATTGTCTACGTATATTTTATTTACATCACGAAAACGATGTAATATATTACTCATCTCAATGAAATACTTATATAGATATATATATTTTATATTTTTTTTGTCTACTTCTATTATTATAATTTATTTATAAGTCATATGCACAAGGATTTTATTTGAACGCGTTTGATCATGTTTTGAAACTACTACACTAGTCAGTAATGCAATATAATAAAAACAAATATTACTATAATTTGAAATAGACTTTTTTTTAAAGTACACGTTCAAAATTAAAAATTCTCTTAAATAATTATATGACATGAGCGTTAGAGGTATAAAAAGGAAAAATTAATTAATTAAGTAAGTGAGTGTACATTTTGTAATTTGAATATATATATTTAATCTAATAAAGTTATAAATATTAAAAAAACATTATCTTATATATGAATTAATAACTCGTTCACATACTTTCTCGAGTTACTCTATAGCAAAGGTCATTTGGTGCAATAAAGTAAGTCATATTAATTGAATGCTCATCTGCCTTTTGATTTCCTTTATGGTATCTTAAGTAATGCGCATTAGTCTTATATGTCCTGTGCTTACCATTTAAATATTATTTATATTTGTATATAGAGCACATTACTTATTATATTATAAGCATACAAATTAATATTATATATTAATTGTTTAAATGTGAATTCAGTTCTTTTACATAAATATTTATATTTATATATATATATATATATGTATATGTATAATTAACACGTTCATCACCACATGTAAATCGAATGTGTTTTATCTGGGGCCCATAATTTATGCTCCCGCATAGCTCATCTACCACATCAGCAATGCATTCACTTATACTCATATCATTTGTTTTTCCAGTCAAACTCGAATTGACTTAAAAGCAATCTCTTTAATTCTTTGCAATTTTATCTTATTTTAGAACGTTATTTTGTATATTATATAGAACGTCAACAATCTGTTTGATACATCATCTTGTTTTAATATTTTTTTTTTGTAACAATATTATTTTACTTATATTTGTTAATTATTTAAGAAAACCTATTTAAATTGGATAAAGAAGTGTCACTCGAATTTTGGGTGACAGGGCCCCTACTAAAGCATAGCTGCCACCCAGATTTGGGTTTCATGGCGATGAACGTGTTAAATAAGATAATTACATCAAACGATCAGTCGATAAATAATTATCAATTAAAAATTTTATTGGTCATAAATAATAAGCATAAAGTTAACTTCAATTTTAACACTTATGAGATAAAACACACTTGATCGTAATAATAATAATAATAATTCACCCAGCAAAAAGAAATTTTGTCTTAACTTATAATAGTAATGTTGTAATTAATTGTGCCAAAAATTTTGTGATCATTCGTTGTATGAATTACGTTACATAACAATCCCCTTAATATAAGGAACACCACCATTCATAATACGTGTGCACTTCCTTGCTTTTATTTTCACTTAAGACCAAAGTTTGGACCTTTTATCTCAAAATGAGAGCGATATCTTTATTATCTTACGATGACATAATATATAAATGCAGTTAAGCTGTTTTATATCATAACAAAAAAATGTGTTGCAATGAAGTAATGATAATAATAGCATTATAATTGTATACGTAATTATACATTACAGGAAACGAAATCTTTCTATTTCATAGATATCAAATTTTTTCTCTTTTATAATAGCAATAATAATACATTTAAAAAATAAACAGAAAAAAGAAAGAAGTCATTAATTTAATTCTTAATATTCTTAGAATAAGAAGATGTAAAATTTTGCTAAGCATTAATTGTGTTAATATGTTACGAGATATGCTTGCAATTATAAAAAATGTTTATTCGCAAATGTGTACATACCGTCAAGTATTACTTTTACTTCCTCATTTATCTTTTTTTCTCACGCTCCATAGAAAACTACTCATTAGTGTCTTCTAGCCGGACAAATTCTACGATCTATTTAATTGTATTGCAAACTTCTCAAGATAGGAACTATATCTCTCGATAAGGACAAGTTGTCGTAACACTCTTCAGTATTAGAGTATATAATTATAAGCCTATCTACGTTTTGCTAAAGCTTCAATACACATTCAGTAGTTTCTTAACGTTTTAATAGGTGATAAAGATTATAATAAAAATTATAAATTGTCACATTAACTATGTAAAGTGTCACAAAATGTGTATAAATACAGTTCTTTTATGCATGTTTCAGAAATTGGGCGTTAGATGTCTTCTTACATATAAGCTACATACTTTTCATTTCTTTTCTTTTCTTTTCGTTTCGTTTTTTTTGTTTTCTTTTGTTTAATTTATTTTTACTTTGTTAGAGCAAGATGCAGCATTTTGTCTTTTTCTTACGTTCATCTCCGTCCACTTGATTTTCTTGCGCTTTACGAGCAGCTATTGCCCGCATTAAATCAAAAAATACCTGTAATAAACGAAAATAATATTCATATTTCATTAGATCATTCTTCGTAGATTACATATATATTAATACTGAAATCGAAATTATTAGAATTTTAGCGGAAAATATTAAAATATATGTACATATATTATATGTTATTATATTTTGATAACTTTGTATTCTTATATCTCTTATTATTTTTATACGATAGAATTATTTTCAATTCTATTATTGTTCTATAAAAAAAAAAAAAATAGGAATTTTCTTGCTCGCTAAATAAAATCATTTGTAATTAAAATTTGATGAAAAATATATATCAAGGAAATATATTGAATTATTAACAGTTTCTTAATCATCGACGAAAAATTGTTTATTTAAATAAATAAAGATATAGTACATGGATTTGTTTCATGCAATAAAAAATGTGACAGAAATTGGAAAGCATAAAAGCCATAGTCAATTCAACAGAGGGTATTAAAATATCGAACAACTAGTAAAACATTGTCAACTCGCAGAAAAATATATATTGTGAAATTAAAATATAAATGTAAATCGACTAAATTGCTTGAAATAAAAAATAAAAAATAAATATATATGTATATAATTATAGTAGAGTAAAAACTTAATGTATATTCTACATTATATTGCAAGTATACTTAAATATTTTTTCAAGCACATCAAATCTATGCCTCGTGAAATAAAACATAGAACTACAGGGGTTAGTGCAATAGCATGTCATCGTTTTATGTCAATTTATATTATAATAAAACTTATAAAAGCAAAGTGCACACATTCTACTTGATCTAATAATTAAAGGCCTTGCATGACATCAACGTGATTATATTTTTTTTATATCATATTTTCCATATATCATTTGAAAAGAAATGGCGGCATATATTGTTCAAAAATTACACACGTCTAACAAAAAACTTATTTTTTTTTTTATCTTTCTTTTACATTACTCTCTGCCATACAGATACATCATGAAATTATCTAATTTATCATTTTATTTTTACTTATATATGTAATCAAGTTTTTAACAGTTTTTTTTTTTTTTGGGGAGAATTAATTTACAAACATAACATATAAGAAAAAACAAAAGTTAATATTAACGTACAGAATAATAATAACATATTTAGAATATCATTTTTAATTATCATCCTTGATGTATCTCTTTTCCTTCCGAGATAAATCGTGCATGAGGGCACGTTTATAAATATCTTTTATATAAATTATCTATAATTTTGTTCATTCTGATTAGAATTTTGTTCAAACTTAAAAAAAAGCGCTGTGAAAAGAAATAGCAAACCTATAGAATAATGCACTTCTTTTTCTTCCGCTTGGCACGATCCTTTTCACGACCATTACTCGCCGACTTGTCTTCGATCTTGCGTGACCTTATTTCACGCATCAAGTCGAAAAACACCTGCAAATATGCAATGATGCTGTCTCAAAGCTTTAACGTTAATTCGATTATTATGTTTGAACTATAGGAGATATATGATGGAAATTACTTTAGTGCGTATAAGTATGATATTAAAGATTCTATTAAAAATACTACTATGTTTTGTTTTATCACAAATAAGCACTTACACAAACAAATAATACTAATAAATACATTCACAATACGTTCACAAATATACGTGATAATAGAAATATCAAATTTCAAGCAGTGTGCTTACATGCTTTTAATAATATATAAGATTTAAAAAATAATATATTAAATTAAATATTAAATAGACACCATAATAATATATTTTTCATTGTATTAGTATATACTTTTAATTATATTAATCATAAATATTGAAGGTGTCAGGCTTATCATATCTTTGCTATTTTTCTATTAAACGCGATGATTCGACGAGCATATATATCACCTAATCTAATAATGGGAAACGATGAATCATGGGCTACATGCCATTCCTCTGATGATATAAAGATAGCAATGACAAGTGTTATCAAAGATGAAATATTTGTATGTCATTGTACGTTACATGAAATAATCTATATATATGTCTTGGTTATTAATTGAAAGTAGTTTAGTAAGAGTGCTATATAGTTAAATGTAATTTGTTCTTTGCATATCTTATACAAAAAGTAAAATAAAAAAATAAAGTGTAGAAGCAATAAAAAAAGATTAATAAGATAAATTAACGATGCGATGCATTTAACTTGTTATTTCACTTAACCAACATCTTTAGTTATTAACAGACATTTTCCAGCGATTAGCTCAGGAATTTACTCCGGATTCTTTAGGAAGATTAAGATTCTATTATAATTCTGGATTTAGTCGGCATATGTTGCATACTACAAAAACACACCATACATACAATAGTAAATATATGCTACTAGGAGAAATATTAGTTGTCCGTAATATATGATTTTACCGTTGTGACGTACGTTATTGTATAGTAAGAATGTAGCAAATACCGATGGTATACAATATAATAAAATATGATATATGAAATGACATAAAGTATAAGAATAACTATCACAAATATATATTATAATTTGTGTACAAATTAATTTAAATTCTGCGAATGAAATTTTTGTTTCCATGAATTATTAAATTAAACTACGAGCATTAAATAGAATTAATGTATAATATGATTAACACCATAGTATAGCAAACAAAACAACATTCCATTAACACTTTACAGTGCTGTCCATCATTAATGCACACGCCCTTTAATCTGTTTTACTACTGTACTTTAATATTATTTTTCTCTAGGATACACACCACGAAGATTCATGAGTAGCGTTCTTTTGTATTTCGTATTAGCAACAAAAGTAAAGTTTCTAAACCGATAGCAAATTTATTAATATATTCAATTCCAATTTCCTTATGATTAATTAGGTCATAAACCTATTTTATGGTCAATTAAATGTTTCTGGAAATTGAAGGCACAAAAACAAAAGAATTATGTTCCCAAATACCCAAGAAATATATTAAATACAAAAAAGAAAGTTTAAAGGGCAGTAGAGCGTGCAGAATTAATGAACAGCACTATAATTTATGCATTAAAAGTTATACAATTATCCTATCAAAACTAAAATCTATAATCATTGTAATTTATCTCTGATTATTAAAATATTCAGACATCATAAATAATAGTTTTCATTTTCTTTTTTTTTTATTATCATCATATCGCAGTTGAATTTCAAACTGCATTTTCCTCTTATCCTTAATTCTTAATTAGAAATATAAGATATTTAAATAGGATCATAAATTCTTACCTTATCAACATTTTCCTTCGTTTTTGCACTTGTTTCTACATAAGGTACGCCCCACTGTTGTGATCGGTCTTGTGCCTCTGCTAAACTGACTTTCCTTTTCTCTTGCAGGTCACTTTTATTTCCCACTAATAAAAATGGAATGTTCTCGTCATTTTTTACTCTGAGAATCTGTTCTCTATGAAACAAGAAAAGTTTATCTATCAAATTTTATACCAGCTAATACTAAACATTTAATCGTTATTCATAAAATTTGATAGCATTCTTATAAACGTATTATCATTGAAATATAAACAGGGACGTAACAAACGTACATAAATATCTTTAGATTCGTATTATTTATGCTGAGACGTAGGAAAAACCTTAATTAAATTATTCATTTTCTACCTAAACTCCTGTGTAGCTTGAAAACTGTCATCTTCAGTTATAGAAAATACACAGAGAAATCCTTCTCCGCTGCGAAAATAATTATCTCGAATAGCTGCATAATCTTCTTGTCCTGCAGTATCTAAGATATCTATTTGTACTTCTTCTCCGTCTAATACAACCTTTTTTCTATAGGAATCTGCCTTTGTAGGTTCATAATCTTCAACAAACTAATTTCAATATTTAATATCGTTGTCAATTACTACCAATAACCAATTACTACCAAATCAATTTGTTTATATTCGAGGAAAGCGATATTTATAAATCTAGGTTTAAGCGTATATCTTCAAAATAAATTTACAGAGTATTAAATTAATATAAATTTGTTGGTATACCTCGTCATACATAAATTGTAAAGTTAGAGCAGATTTTCCAACGCCTCCGCTTCCAACCATAATAACTTTATGCATAGCTTGAGTAGCTCCAGGCTTTTTTGACATCGTCGATGAGTTAATCTTTAATTATTTATAAATTAAAGTGTATCTAAAAAAAGAACATTGATATTTAATCGACGTATACTATTGAGAAATAAATAATCTTGAAGTTAATCTTATTAGTAATTAAAAATTCAAACATATTCTACTTACATTCAATAACTTATCTAAATATTTCTTAATAATATCATACTATGATATATAACCAATTAAATATAATTGTAAATCAATGAATCTAAATGTATAACCATGGATGATTCACGTTTGAATAAATCGAAATTTACGCTAAGAAGCTAAAAGTGAAACGCCAGCAACGAAAGGCGGTGCCACACTACTCTCTATGATCGTAGGTTGAAAGGAACAGGAAGTATGTTTTTATATACGCTTATTATTCTTTCTTTCTTTCTCTTTCTATATTTTTCACTTTTTTTTCCTTTCATTTTCTTTTTTTATTTCCTATCAAATACCGGTTGAGTAACCTAACTTTTGAACATTACATTTATTATTAAAATATTTAATAAAAAAAACTAATTACCTTTAGATCAATTGGACCTTAAGAATATCAACTTATTATCTGATTTAACTTGTCAGTCGATAATTTACTAGCTTATGTGATACGTTACACTGTTAACTGTCAGAGAAAAATCTTACATTATCGTCCACGAAGTAGTCACATAACTGTATATTCACTGACTGAATGCAACAGTTATTGTTTTACATACATATATACATACGTAATAAGTTCTCACGGTGAAAAAAAGTTATCTTAAATCTAGATTATCATTATTAACGATTTCTTCTGATTGAACATTCTATTTTTTTCGGTAAAAATTATACTATTATGAATAACATTGTAAACAATAATATTGTTTTGAAAAAAAATTATCAAATACTTAGGGAAATATCCGTCAGAATTCGTAGCGGACGTGTATTTTATTTCGATTATGCATGCGACGTGTTACCATAATAGATGGCACTTTAAACAATTGACGCTAGTGTCATCTATGTTGAACGCGTCAACTACGAAATAGGCGGGACATTGATATCGATTCAATTTGATATTGGAAATCTCAATTACTAGTAACACTTTCGAAAGAAATAACAATTAATATTACATTTAAATTAAATTCTAAAAGATATTACACATTCATAAAACATTCTTTTAAATTACGAAAGAATTAAAAAACGAATCAATATCGATAATCGGTCGATAATGAAAACTCGATTTAGTGCAAACTTCGTGCGATTTGAAATGGTTAAATGATTTTTTCGTTGAATACAACAAATAATTAGGGAATAAAATATATTAGAGAAAATGAATTAATACAATTTATCGATGTTTATAGAGAACGTTTGAATGAAAAAAATATCTATTAAATATAAAATCGTAATGTATGATAGAAAATGAACGCTTGCGCGCAACTTGTTTCGCGATATTTGGAGCGACCTCGCGTGTCGCCTCTGGGTTCTTCAATTGTTGTTCCGTGACGCGAGGACGGTTCGATCGTACCGAACCTTTCTGCGATTGATTTTTGCTCGTTCGTTTCAATAGCTTTTTGTATCGTACAAAAATAGGGAAAGAAAAGTCGTCGATTAAGAATAATAATAATAATAACAATAATAATAATAATAATTAGAAAAAAAAAAATAGAAAAAGAGTTGACAAGTAACGGGTAAAGAACGAGAACGAGAACAAGAAGAAAAAGAACAAGGACGGGAAGTTTTTCTCAACAATTGACATAATAATGTTCGCGTTAATATTTCTTTATTTCGATCTGCGTGAGATATGGCGGTGTTTAAATATATCAAATAATTTGGAAGAGTATTAGCGATATGAAAGCTACGATTTTGTACGATGGCGTTGGTAGATATGACATTTAGCCGGGTTTTCTCCGGTTTAACATACAAATCATCTTTTGAATCTCCTCTTATAAATATATATATACATATATAATGCATACATACACACACACGCTCATACATATACATACATACATACATTGAGATATATTCATACATATGTGTATATATATATTTAAGGAGACATAATAAGAAGAGGTGAACATCGTATAGAAACTAGAAGAAGAAATATAAAATAATAATAATAATAATAATAATAATAATAATAATAACAATAATAATAATAATACTAATACTAAACTAAAGTATTATTCCTTGATTAATTCGCATGAAACCGGACGGCTGATTAATGTGTTAGTTGTGATGGGAGTGCCTGCGCGGGGAGCACTTGCGGCAATCATAGCCTTTACTGCGTTTGCCGTTTATCTAAATAGTCTAAGTTGCGATTTCGTCTTTGACGATATTTCGGCGATCAAGGATAATCGAGATTTAAGGCCGCATACACCCCTGAAGAATGTATTTTACAACGATTTCTGGGGAACCCCCATGCACAAGGTGAGATATCATCAGTGGAAGATCATTCAATGGACGCGCACCAGCCCCCCCCCTGGCGTCTTTCTCTCTCTCTCTCTCTCTCTCTCTCTCTCTCTCTCTCTCTCTCTCTCTCTCTCTCTCTCTCTTTTCTGTGTGTGCGTGTGTGTGTTCTCTGTATTGATCCGCAAGCGTCCGTTCATTTCATTGCAATCCAAATGTGTAATTTGGAAAGCAACTTTTCTGAATGATTTTCTTAATTCCTTTTATTTTAGATTATTTTTTCATACCACACAAAATATGTCACGTATGAAATTTAAAAATCTTAACTATGACCCATGTTCTATATGAATTATAACATTTTTTTATGCTTATTGTTGCATAAACTATGTATTCGTTTAATTTTTTTTTTTAGTAAATATTTTTTTTATGATTAAGAATTCAAAACAATGGTTATTGTTTTGTTTATGAATATACGGGGTGTCCATGTAATTGATGCATGCTTTTGATTCAGTTTTAGCTTGACAAATTTTACTATTTTATTTTTTGATATTTCTGAGAGCATTTTTGTGCTTCTTTTAATATGTTTACTAATATTGTCAGTACGATGATATTTCTTGTATCGGTTCTATTTTTATGCTCATTGAACAAGATTTTTAATTTCTAGGGTTGCAAGCTCTATCAAGTGCACATGTACTGGAGAAATTTTCAAACTGATTTTTTTTAAAAACAAAGCTTTGTATGGACATATTTTATTTTAAATTTTGACTAAGTTTTTCATGTAGAATTATTCTTTGCTTGCTTGTATCATCGGTTACAGGATACCCTATATATCATGAATATATATTTTTGATTTATTTAATAGTATATTCATTTTTAGGAACAATCACACAAGTCATACAGACCACTTTGCGTTCTCACATTCCGGTGGAATTACCTGATTCACCAGCTTGATCCTATGGGATATCACCTGCTTAATGTCATTCTACATGTTGGAGTATGTCTACTATACTTCAGGTTTGTTTATAATTTTATTCGCGCGATATACTTTAAAGATATATTATGTATTTAAAAATGATTTATTGCAATATTGCTTTAATGACATTAATTTTCATTCGCAGAATCTGTTTGATGTTTTTATCCGACTTGGGAAGTCTTGTATCTTCCTTACTGTTTGCTGTACATCCAATACATACAGAAGCCGTAAGTTATATGAAATATTAGATATTTTATTCAAATGATAAAGATTTAATCTACTTATTGTTTTCATCAGGTTACAGGAGTGGTCGGAAGAGCTGAAACTCTGTCTTCACTATTTTATCTGGCAGCTTTAATCACATATACTAAGTGTTGCAAAAGTAAAAAATCTACAGGTAAACAAAATATATTTAATATAAGACAGAGTAATTATATGTGTAGAATATTATACTTCAACGATTTGATTTTTGCAGGATGGAAATCACTGATATTATCTATGTTTTTTGTATTTACTGCTATGTTATGTAAGGAACAAGGAATAACAGCCACAGCTGTGTGTGTCTTATATGAAATTTTTGTTGTACAAAAGGTAAAGTAGAATACATTTGTAATTACTTCGCTCAAATGGATGGATTCATTAATTACTTTATTATCAGGTTAAGGCATCGGATATTTGTTTAGCAATAAAATATGCATTCGATGGTAAAAAACTATCGCCAACATGGTCCAGCGAAGGTACAAAGCGTTTAACAGCTCTCACTGCTGTTACATTTAGCTTATTGATTTTACGGTTACACGTAATGGGTTCCAAATTACCTGTTTTTACCAGGTAAGCTCAAGTATTCATTTACATCGGTTAATATCATAGTATCATTGATAAACACGATATTGATCATTATTTCAATATTGCAAAATGTATTCTATTAATTTTGTAGATTTGACAATCCAGCATCGGTTGCTGCAACACCTACAAGGCAACTTACCTACAATTATCTCGCAGCAGTTAATTTAAGATTACTTTTTCTTCCAAGCGATTTATGTTGTGATTGGACAATGGGAACGATACCATTGGTAGAAAGCTTTACGGATATTCGTAATCTCGCAACTATAGCCGCGCATGGTACCATCTTAGGATTATTGGCGACAGCCACTTTAACGCGAAATAGACAGACATCTGTTATTCTTATAATGGTAATATTTAGAAACATGAAAAATAATAAACATTTCGGTTTAAGCATTTCACGTTAGTTTATTTGATAATTCTATATTTTCAGAGTTTAGCAATGATGATTTTACCATTTTTACCTGCGTCAAATCTTTTCTTCCCTGTCGGATTTGTCATTGCTGAAAGAGTTTTGTATGCTCCTTCAATGGGTTTTTGTATGCTCGTTGGATACGGATGGAGTATTTTATCTATGAGAAAGTAATATTCTCTCTTTATAAAAATTCATTAAATCTGTTATAAATAATTTTTAATATCTATATGTTGTTTTTTTTAGATTTAAAAAACTGACATTATTTCTATTAATAACACTTTTGGCCGCTCATTCAACAAAAACATTTATGAGGAATTACGATTGGTTGGATGAATATTCTATATTCATGTCTGGTTTAAAAGTTAATGATCGGAATGCTAAGTTATTTAATAATGTGGGTCATGCATTGGAAGATCAAGGTCGATTTAAAGAAGCTCTTAATTTCTTTAATATGGCTGTACAAGTTCAAGGTGACGATATCGGTGCTCATATTAATGTCGGTCGCACATATAAGCATCTTAAAATGTTTAAGGAAGCAGAAGATGCTTACTTGAAGGTAATAATTCATTTGCACATTATATCATTTCTTATTTTGAAATGATTTATTAATTATTTTTAAATGTATTCCTTAGGCAAAATCATTATTACCGAAAGTAAAGCCAGGTGAATCTTATCAAGCACGTATAGCACCTAATTATTTAAATGTCTTTGTCAATCTGGCTAATTTGATAGCCAAAAATGCTACGAGATTAGAAGAGGCTGATTTATTATATCGTCAAGCTATCAGCATGCGTGCTGATTATACTCAAGCCTATATTAATCGTGGCGATGTTTTAATTAAACTTAATCGTACAAAAGAAGCTCAGGAGGTCTATGAACGAGCATTATTTTACGACAGTAATAACCCGGATATTTACTATAACGTAAATACTATCAACTTTTCACAATATGGACCAGATATATTTTATTCTATATATACTTATAGTTTTATTATGATTTATTTTCATTTCTAGCTTGGAGTTGTCTTCTTGGAACAAGG